CGTCGGTGTAGCCAGTAGAGACAAACTCTCAAGCCCTTTGAAGTGGTTCAAGCGACATCAACCGGTGAAGCACCGTTAACGTCCTAGGTGTAGCCAGTAGAGACGAACTCACAAGCCCTTTTATGTGGTTCAAGCGCGCTTCAGCCGGTGAAGCAATGTTATCGTCGTCGGTGTAGCTAGAAAAGGCGAACTCTCAAGTCCTTTCAAGGAGTTCAAGCATGCATCAGCCGGTGTAGCACCGTTTCGTCGTCGGAGTAGCTAGAAGAGGCGAAGTCTCAAGCTCTTGAAGTGATTCAAGCGCGCATCACCGGTGAAGCACCGTCAACGTCATGTGTGTAGCCATTCAGGAAGAACGTCTCAGCACTTTGAAGTTGTTTGAAGTGTTCAGTGTAGCCAGAAAAGGCGAAGTTATGAAATTGGTAGTGGTAGTGGTTCCGGAGGAATGGAAGAAAGGTACCTAATTTCTTTCAACCATAAGACGACTTGGCACAGTGCCTTGAAGGGGGGAGGAGAGGGGATGAACAGGATAGATGAAGAAACAGATGTAGGGGAAGTGCAGAAGAAAGCAGCCACGAGTCCATTACTTCAAGAAGTCGCTTGTAGCACACCAACTTGTAGGGAGAGTTCTGTGGAGGGCGTGTCTTTAGTGGAGGGTAGTTCTGAAATTGAAAGTAAATGTAAGAAGGTTTCTTCCTAAAGGACACCCACAAGCTCCCTCAAAATCTGGATGCTGCCAGTGGTGAATGGTGTAGTTATATATAGCTCCCACTGGTGGGTACTTCTGATCTTTTTCAGTCCTAGTGAAATGCCGTAAACGTAGGACACCACAATAGGCCCCTGCCTCGCCGCTGTAGTCAAATGGCTAAGGTACTCGGCTGCTGACCCGCATATCGTGTAATCAAGTCCCGGCTGCGGCAGCTGCATTTGCGATGGAGGAGGAAATGTTGTAGGCCCATGTGTTCAGACTTTGGGTGCACGTTAAAGAACCCCAGGTGGTTAAACTTTTTGGAGCCCTCCACTACGACGTCTCTCATAATCATATGGTGGTTTTGGGACATTAAACCTCACAAAATCAAAAAAATCTAACAATAGGCCTTTTCCTGGACGTCTGCGACACGATAAAACAACACCAGTAGAAAACTTGCTCGTACACATCCAAATCAAGCCTAACCTAAAGCCGCTAACTATTCGCAGTCGGCAATATTAGGAACACTGATAGCTTTCATGTATTTGTGATCACGATGAATGGTGGACAGTGCCAATGAACATTTGTGCTCTCTATATCCTGCGAATTAAGCATGAGAATTAACTTTAAATAAGAAAAACCTTTTGGAGATAAAACATTTAACAATACCTTTTTTCATGCACACAATCTTTCAGTGGAATCTGCTTCGACGGAACATTGCGGAATGCCGCAATGACACAGCTTTTCAGGACATACAGCTACACTCATAAATACGTTTTGTTATGATCTGGTCTGTGTTCATCTTGTTTCTGAATAGTTGTTCGTTTATTTTTTGTAGGCACAAGTTACGCTGCGTATTTCCCCCTGTAATAATGCCCTCGGGTGTTGCAGATATTTTATGAAATGAATGAATAATAAACAAATATATATATATATATATATATATATATATATATATATATATATATATATATATATATATATATATATATATATATAACTTAAGCGCCTCAAGCTTGTGATCGAAAAAATATCACAGACGACGAAGAATTTAGAGTGCGCCTACATGCCAATTCGTAGTACATTAGCTTCTCTTTGGACTTCAACTTCATCAGCGATTAGCAGAGAACTGTGGGGCTTCCAAAGAAAAGGTAATTTGTTTGGAAACACTCTTTCTAAACTGATGTCCTCCACTTGCGTGTTTATTTTACAAGTAGCGAGTTTAGCGAGAAACGCTGCAACAAAGCGTATGCAAGTGTTTATGAACACGGCCGACAGGAGGGAGTCTGGGAAAAAAGTATAGCTGCACGAATTGCTTCGACTGTCGCGTTGCACTCTATAAAGTTACTCTAATGTTAGTAACCTGTAATATACAAATGAACGTCGTTTACACTTCCTTCCTGTTGATAAGATTACACATGTCTACTTATATTAAGTCTGTGAACTTATATAATGGGCGAAGGCCATTAGGTGTGAATATCATTCACTATGCCCGTGAAGCAGTAAAAAAATGACATTAACAGATAATATCAATGGCAGCGAACGACATAACAGGTGCCGTGTGACAGAAATATAACAAAGTAATTTTTCTGTGTCACCAAGTTAAAGGCCACAATCACAGCGAAAACCATATATGTTCTGTCAATTATGTCAACTAGTTTATAATGTGTTAAATAAATGTATACTGTGTTCCTTCATCATGTGGATAACAGCGCGTCGAACAAACTGGTAGGTGCCTTAACTCACAATTACGCGTGCATAATTACAACAATAAGCACATTAGTTACCCAGGTAGCTTAACTACTTCTTGCCGCAAGTGATCTTGTCAGCCAGATCTTGAAGACGCCGTTGTTGTATTGCTATTGAAAGACAAGAGCGGAAGTAAAATTATTTAAGCTTTTACTATGCGCAAGCTTGGCGAGAATATATGTGTTAGAGCACCATCAATAGATCTGACTGACCTTTAGGTTTTTTTACATGGAAAGAAAGTAGCTTACAAGGCTAGATTGCACGATTTTACATAGATGGTTGCTTTCCTGTCATGTGCAATGCGCAGGCTCACCCGTTCTTTCTTTTTTTCTTTTCACCTCCACCAAAGAAACTGTTATTTGATCGCGCTCGTATGTGTCTTTTCTGTCATTTTCACGTTCTTCTTCATGTGCAACAGTGCGTCGCAATTGCCAAAATTATTTACATGCACAAGTATGCAGTGTTAAGGCGGATTTCGGCTGCGCCGGTTGCATTTCCAATTGAGGTGGAAATGCTGTAGGCCCGGGTGCTCACAATCGGGGTGCACGTTTAAGAACCCTAGGTGGTCTAAACTTCCGGAGCCCTCCACTACGGCGTCTCTCACAATCATATGGTGGGTTTGGGACGTTAAACCCCGCAGATCAGTCAGTTTTAAGGCGGATTCGCGGAAAGAATGATCCCGGTGCGTTGCCCACTTATCATGATTAACTCTGTGAAGATGCGTGTAGTTAGTTTTCTTTGTTTCTTTTTTATGTTTTAAAAGAACACAGCGACAGCACACTCACAGCGACTGCCTGTTCTATTTTATCTTATTTCTCTTCAGCCAGCTTACCGCACGCTTGAGCCTCTGTGCCATTTTTGGTCATCAGTAGTACGTACATATAAGGGACATGGCGAGATTGGCGAAAAACCACCGAGAGTGTGCGTACAATTACCATTGTAATGAAAAACTGCTATATCACGTACGTGCGAAAGAAAATCAGGAACAGTGCGTTATTTTTCACGCTGGTTCACAAAAGATTAACAAAGGAGCAGACGGCGTGTGAATACCAATTATGTGATGCTTCTTCTAGCTTTCCTTGTTAGCCATCCGTACCGAATACTTGGGTGGAATTGTGCACGTGCAGGTTTGCGATATACTTAGCTATATACGACACGTGGCAGGCTTTGACGTCAGTAGCTCTGTTGTACAAGCCTTCATTACCTTCCCCCTCCCCTCGGAAATACACCTGAGCTCCTTTCTGCCAAAAATAACGAGATACCCCTGTTCATCGCGGTACGATTTGTGCATCATAAAGGAATTTCACTCTCAGACAAAAATAAATTTACAAATGTATGTACCTCAATAAAGAAATACAGATGCTCAAAAACATCTTTGAGATATGATCGCTGTACTGTTCAGTTCTTCACTATAGATTATTCGCCCCCTTTTTGCTTACCCACGCATTCTTTCCAAACTCTCTTCTGCTAGGCTTAACGCATGTTTTCTGTTAAGCCATGTGAATTCTTTGTTTTCTGGATTGGCTATAGATGCAGCAGATTAATCCGCTGTAGACGAACGAAGCTTGATGGGGACAATTCGTTGCAAGAACTAAGGCGCTAGAGAGCAAGCGGTGTTTGTTGTTCTTTTTTTAACGCGGACACGGTGCTTTATACCCTTGTTTAATGACAATCAAAGATGAAATGCATCTCCTCTTGTTTATAATGTTTTTTTTTCTTCCATTACAATTGTCTTAATCCGCAATTGGCCAACCTTTGACCCTGTGACAGCATCATGTGATGCCTCCCCATGACACCACAACTGTTGAAGATTCGTATTGTTCGATGAAGCCAAAGATGACGTCAATACGTCCCTTTTTGCAACAATCGTCTTGACGATGATGACGCTCAGAATCATTCTGCGCTATTGATGGCACACCGCAGGCTATCACCTCTCGAAAAGTCCTTTTTAGCACGTGTAGAAGCGACGAAGAGTATTCTAAACGGAACGAAAACTTCGACTTCGGGCAAACTTGGTTCTAGACACTTGTTTTGGTTGTAGCAAGACGCGCTCACCATAGGGCGGATCCTGGCGATTACTGACACTATAAAAAAAAGATGAAGTACGCCATATCAAGGGCACCCATTAGCAACGTTTTATAGATTGCTGCAGCCTACAATAAAAAACAGTCCGCTTACGCATCATAGCCAACTTGCTTGAATTATGCTGCGTGCAGTTTCATTATTCACGACAAAAAAATGGAGGGACAGCACTGAACGTCTGCTTCTGCATTTTTGTGTGTGTCGCAGATCTCTGTTTTAAGACTTCCGTCGACTAGCTCGATTAAAGGTGCAAGGTAGGCTTACTGGTACGTCATGTTTGAATAACAGTCGTAGCACAAGGAAACAGGACACAACACATAGACACATGCGGATGCAGGCATAGCGCTACACTTCCAGCAAAAGTCTTATTTTTGGGCGCCACGTAGTTCATATGCACTTTTTTGAACCCAGCTGTAGCAACACGTGTGAAAACGCAATCAATTCTTCGGCTGCATTTTTAGCCGCTAAATTTATACGAGAGTCATATCACACAAAAAAACGAAATTATTTATTCGCAACCTTCAGTGAACTTCATTTTTCACAACCACAGTGTCCAGTTTTCTTGAAGGGCCATGACACGGTCACACAACAATTCTTGGTTTTAGAAAAAAACTAGAAGCAGAATGTCTATTGTGCCTCTACAGATATGAAAAGTGGGCTATGAAAGAAACTTTCGATGCAAAAGAGACCCTGGAAGTAGCTGGTTGTAATTACCACCCACTCCCACCAACTGCCATCTTATAATGGTGCCTGTGACGTCACAAGCAGGAAGGAGCGGTGCCGTCGTCTCTACCACAGTTACAGCCGCTGTGGGTCGTTCCATACTGTTGTCTATCAGAATTGAACGCTCAAATGTCTCAGCTGAATACGTAACAATGTCGTTCGCGGAATTCAGACGCTCGCACAACCGGCCGCTTGTTATGTCATGCCTCGCGAGGGGGCCAGTGTTATACGACTCCTAAGACGCTCGCGTGTTTTTAAAAATATTATTAATAAAATAGGTGCTTGACCGAAAGCGCTAGAAATTCACCAGCATAAATGTGATTGCTCAACACTTGACGCACACACCACCGATTACGATCGAAAATGTTGTGTCATGGCCCCTTTCAGCTACCATGGCTGTTAAAAAATACCGACTGGCTCGTGCATACATTTTTCTTTAGAACTGAGGAAAAATGTGGCGGCCGACGCCTAGTGTGAGTGAACAAGATCCAAGCAAGATTTCTTTAAATGTTCCGGGGTAATACAAATGAGTTCTGCGAAGACCCGAAAGGTAGCGCAAGGGTCAGAAAAAAGAAGAAAAAGTTTTTTCTTTTTTTTTTTTCCTCTTCCGCCCCTTTATTTCTGTTTCTATTTAAACCATATTTAGTCCTTCAGTCTTAGATGGTAACACAAAATGCGGGATGCACTGATTTTGGCACTGCCTGTTCAGTCCGTCTTGTGACACTCGAAGAGCATGACTGCCTCTTTGGAACGTCTGTAGGTATCCAGGTAGAACGCCGAAAACCATGCGAAGAAGATTAACCCCTCGACCACGAGGATCACCGAGAAGGAGCGCACGAAATGTCCCGCGAAGAACAGCGGGAGCGAGTTGTGAACCATCAGAACCACAAACTGCACGAGCTGCACCTGCGAAGGCAGAAGGGTTCTTTTACAATGTTCAACGTGAAACCGAACATATTTCAAAAAATTTTGATATCCAAGCAACACTGATATATTACTCTACGTCTCCGAATACATCTATGCACACAGATTAAGATTTTCTTAAAGGACACTTACTTCTCGTCAATGCAGTCAGTTCTTCATAAACACACATGTATGCAAACTACTGTACACTTCAGTTCAAAGCTCGGGACAAGTGGTCATAACAAAACAGATTGTGTGGTTGCACCTTGTGCGAGATTATAAGAAAAATGAATATTTTGGCCAGCTTCACTTTCGGAAAGGCTAACCAGCGCCCACTTTACGACACAACATTTGCCGTCGGTCTCACGATTTAAGCAGCATTGTTGCGCACACTCTCAATGTGTGCAATCGAAGCACAGGGTTGCCACCGCACCTCATGTACTGCACAAAGTTCTAGTCGACAACATCGCGTCTGTTGTGTGCGAGTGGAAGTGTGCTTCAACACCTGCTTGAGCGTTTTGGTCAAAAAGGGTGAGTTAAGCATAATTCCCTTTTGAAACTCCTTGTAGACTAAAAACAGACCTATTTCTTTGGCTTCCCCCTTTGGATACCCCCCTTTTGCATGGCTTCGGGAAAGAGGGCTACGTATGTCATTGACGCGAGGAAAGGACCAAATTGGTTCATGTCGACTTGGTGATTTGCTTACGGTAGAGAGGCGCTACGAAGAACCCACTACAAAGAGCACAGGACAAGGTGTTAACAACACGAGTGCAAACTTCAACTGCTTCAATTATCCACGTGTAGTCCATATAAACAAAAGTTCACAAAAGCAAGTGGACAAAGATTAGGCCACTTCACCCCGCCTTAATGGCGTCCATCACAAAATCGATTTCAGCAGGAGGAAGTCTGGGCACCGAACCATGCGGCAGTGGGTTATCAATAAATGTCTCTTTTGTCGAATTGGATGTGGTGAAAGATGTAACATAGGTGAGGTGAAGTTGACTAATCTCTGTCTGTGTGCTTCAGATTGGTACGTGGGGTTTAAAGTCCGGAAACTACCATATGAGTATGAAAGGACGCCTTAGTGAAGGGCTCCAGAAAATTGACCACCTGGAGTTGTTTATCGTGCACACAAATCGGAGCACACGGACCTACAGCATTTTCGCCTACGTCAAAAACGAAGCTGCCGCAGCCGGGAATTTATCCCACGTTATGCAGGTATCCACGTACCTCTGTGGATGTCTGTGTGCTTTGTAGGCTTCCCGCCACAGCGTCTTTTTACAGTAAGTGCATCGCCAAGGCATTAGGTATGTGTAGACGTCATGAGAGCATTCAGAACGGGGCTTGCTATGTGGGCGTAGGTTGCCGCAACAGCAAAATGCCACACACACTCTCTATATTAAAAAAAAGAAAGCAAAGAACTTGGGATCCTAAAATTTGAAATGTAGAAGCTACGCGGTTAATTGGAACAAAAAAGAAAGGAAAAACTGGAAGCACGGCCAAATGTTTGGCAATAGGACTCCTTATTAAAAGTTTTGTATGCTCTGGACCTGTGCAGTAAATATTTATTTCGGTTGGCCGAACTTAATACGTAGCACCAGTGAGAGTAACTCTGTGTTGCCTCTGGGCAACCCATAGTCACACACCGTTTCTTTTTTTTTTTTTTCATTCGAATATGCGGAGTTTTGGCGGGACACCTTCGGGGTATATCACAAGAATTGTTACTCATCCCGGACGAAACTTTAGTCAGATTAGCTGAGAAGCAGTAGCAGCTGGGCTAATTAATTGAGACTCGTGTTTAGCACAAAAAATACTGGTGGATTAGTGCAAAACGAAGAGAAAAAGACATGGCTGATCCCTTCACCATAAAATCTGCTGTAACAAAAAAGTGAAACGTGCCTTCATAGATATAGATGTTGTTTATAGTGCAGTGATATATGGAAGCTAGTAAAATGTCTATTGGTGTTTGGCAAGTATAGCACCGCTTGATGTGGACCCACTCATATTGATGCCTCGCTCTGCATCTCTGTTCAGATGATAATGCTACGTGCCAGTGCATGGAGCTCAAGAAGAGAAAGCAGATAGACTGGCACGAGCTAATCTGTGCGGCTGGCGCTGCTCGCCTAATCGTCTGTAAATACATCGGTGACTACCTCTCTGAGTCAGTCTCCTTCCCGTAACATATTTGGTGGAGTTGTGCGACCCCCGTCCTCGCCACGGAACTCCGAAGCGGACGCTCCCTCGCGGATTACAACATGACCACTCAAGCCTCGGCTACATCCTCTCCGGTCGCTCCCCCTTCTGCTCGACCTGTCAACCCAGTGCCCGCGACAACTTTCGTGACGCTTCCCGCGCTCAAATACCCTGGCGTGTTCTCGGACAGCGAGGGTTCCGGCGTCTACCAGTGGCTACGCCTCTACGAACGCGTGAGCGCCACTTACAGGTGGGATCCCACTCTTATGCTCGCAAACGTCATCTTTTATCTCGGCGCAACCTCTCGTGTTTGGTTTGATAACCACGAGCATGACATAAGAAGCTGGGACAGCTTCAAGGCAAAGATCCGTGAGCTTTTTGGCAACATCTCTGGTCGTCGTGAAGTTGCGAAAAATGAGTTGTCGACTCACGCACAATCTTTCACGGAGCCCTATTTCGGTTAAATTCAGGCTGTCCTTTCACTATGCCGCCAAGCTGACGTAAATATGTCTGAAACTGAAAAAGTTGCGCATATCCTAAATGGTATTGCCGACGATGCGTTCAACTTGTTGGTATTCAGCAATGTGTCATCTGTTGATGAGATCATTCAAGAATGCCACCGGTTCCAAGAAGCTTAAAGCAGACGCATCTCCCATCCGTTCCAGCGCCTTCCGAACACCACTGCGACGTCCTCGTGTCTCGGCACATATCGTCCACTAGACACCTGTGACAACTTGACGCGAATCGTCAAGCGGGAGCTTGAAGCGGCTGCTTCAGCTAAGGTGGGACCAACAACCCCTGACCGCTCTCCGCCAATTCCGTTGCCTCTCATTCAAGCAGTCGTCCGGCAGGAAATTGCCAGCTTCGGAATTCACTCTATCTCACCGCCTCCTCGCGCAGACTACCGGCCCCGATACACGCCTGCACGTCGACCGGCTCTGCCTCAACGTTCCGTAATCCGTCCGCATGGCGAACACACGATGACAAGCCGATATGCTTCTCGTGTCACAGAATCGGGCACATTTCTCGCTATTGCAGAAGTCGCTGGGGTCCTCCTGCACAACCGTCCTCTCGTCCCTTCTATGCACGTCCTGCCTGTTGCCATGAGACAAGCCGCGACCATTTTGCCCAGGAACCTGCTTCTGAACACCGCTACTCCCGCTCACCATCCACCCAACGTCGCCAGTCTCGTTCTTCACAGCCCCGCCGACCATCTTCCCCCACCTTTCCACGAGGTTCCCCGACGGTAAACTGAGCGTTTCAGCCCCCGGAGGTGGCGCTGCATCGCTCGGACTGACCGAAAATCCTCTTTTGACAATACCGACAAAACGGAACCTCATAGACGTACAAGTAGACGGCGTACATGTCACTGCTCTTGTCGACACCGGTGCCCAACTTTCCGTGATGACGAGTGATTTTCGCCGCAAGCTTAACAAGGTTCTCACACCTGCGACCACTCAGTTTGTCCATGTTGCGGATGGTGGAATAGCATCTATCGTTGTAATGTGCTCCGCTCGTGTGAGCATTGCGGATCGACACACAGTTGTTCTCTTCACCGTCCTTGATAAATGCCCTCACGACGTAATCTTAGGCCTCGCCTTCCTGTTCGCGCATTCTGCCCTCATAGACTCTTCGACCAGTACGCTCCGTCTACACTTGCTCGCAACAGAACCTCTTACACAACGGCCGAGTCGCCTCTGCACAAAGGGACACGCGCCCCTCCCTCCACAGACACTGACCTACATAGAGCTCGTCTCAATACCACCAGTTCCCGACGGTGACTATGTTCTGACCCCTATCACCGATGTTCTCATAAGCCGTGGCATTACATTACCGCACACCATTCTGTCCGTCGCAGGAACTTCAACGTGCCTCCCAGTTGTGAACTTTAGCTTGACACCTCAAGTTTTGCTACAAGGGATTTCTTTGGCATTGCTCTGCACCTTAGAAGACAATACGGTAGATGTTTTCGCGATGGCCGCCCCTTCTGACCCCCATGCTCAACATAAATCTGCCACTTCCACCGACAGCGCTATTACTTCGATGATCGCTTCCAACTTAACGCCGCAGCAGACTGATGAGCTCCACCGGGTTCTGCTGTCCTAAGTCGACGTTTTTGACATCAGCGGCCGTCCATTGGGAAAAGCTACCGGTATGAGCCACCGCATAAGCACTGGTAATGAGCATCCTATTCATAGGCATCCGTATCGAGTGTCGGCGGCCGAGCGTCACATTATTCAAAGTGAAGTCGACAAAATGCTCGCCAAGGACAGCATTGAGCCATCCTGCAGTCCTTGGGCTTCTCCTGTAGTGCTAGTTCACAAGAAAGACGGTGCATGTTGTTTCTGTGTGGATTATCGACACCTAAACAAAATTACCAAAAAAGACGTCTACCCTCTGCCACGAATGGATGATGCGCTTGATTGCCTCTATGAGTCCCACTATTTTTCCTCCATAGACCTTCGTTCCGGCTACTGGCAGATAGAGGTAGATGAAATGGACCATGAAAAGACGGCATTCATCAGCCCCGATGGCCTATATCAGTTCAAGGTCATGCCCTTCGGCCTTTGTAACGCTCCAGCCACCTTCGAATGAATGATGGACTCCCTGCTCTGAGGATTCAAATGGTCCACCTGTTTGTGCTACTTGGACGACGTCATCGTATTTTCACCAACAATTAAAACTCACATAGAGCGCCGATCAGCCATCCTGGGAATCATCCGTCGCGCTGGCCTGCAGCTCAACTCGTCCAAATGTCACTTTGGATGCCATCAAATCACAGTGCTTGACCATTTAGTAGACGCCAACGG